AAAAAAAAAAAAAAAAAATAGAAGGGAGATGCTGAGAGTGGCCTTTTGCCAATCTGCAGCCATTCTAAGGTACGTCATGGTATCTTCCTTTTCCCTGCTCCCCAGGCCAGCAGGTGGCCATTAAGAAGATCCCTAATGCTTTTGACGTGGTTACCAATGCCAAGCGGACCCTCAGGGAGCTGAAGATCCTCAAACACTTCAAGCACGACAACATCATCGCCATCAAGGACATCTTGAGGCCCACGGTGCCCTACGGGGAGTTCAAATCTGTGTAAGGAGCAGGGATGGGAGAGAAAGGCAGAGGTGGGACCTTTTCTGAAGGCCGGGGCCATGTTGCTGAAGTTTCCGAAGGGCAGCTGAAGGCAGGCTGGGAAATTTCCCGTGATTCCAGGACCAGTGTCCCTTAGGGCTTTGCCCAGGACAACCGTGATTACTCGTGAAGAGTACAGACGTTACGGTTTTATGAAATCTCGGTATGTGGGATGGCAGACGCGGGACCTTCGTGAGATAACGTCACCCTTTTGTTCTCATAGCAGATATCACTGGTCAATCACAGAGCACTTTCTTAACAAAACCTGGGCAAGCCTGCGCAGTTTTCACATAGTCTTTCAAGCAGCCACACCAAACAGTGGAGATGGCCCCCAAACTAGACCTATCGGCCAGCCCTGGTTTGGTCCAACCCTGGGGAAACTGGATCTAGACAGAAAAATGATTTAACTTCACTTAAGGTTATGGAAGAGTTGGAGAACATCCTGACTCTTCATACCATGCCATTGGCCCCTGCAGAGTGCAAGGATGAGGCCATTACCTGTCGCGCTGGGAGGGAGTAGTGAGGCTGAGGCTGGGGCTGCCGCGCCGGCGAGGCAGCCATGCCTGTCTTTCTTGCCCCCTCTAGCTACGTGGTCCTGGACCTGATGGAGAGCGACCTGCACCAGATCATCCATTCTTCCCAGCCACTCACTCTGGAGCACGTGCGCTACTTCCTGTACCAGCTGCTTCGGGGCCTCAAGTACATGCACTCGGCCCAGGTCATCCACCGCGACCTCAAGCCCTCCAACCTGTTGGTGAATGAGAATTGTGAGCTCAAGATCGGTGACTTCGGCATGGCCCGCGGCCTGTGCACCTCGCCGGCTGAGCACCAGTACTTTATGACTGAGTATGTGGCCACGCGCTGGTACCGTGCTCCTGAGCTCATGCTCTCACTGCACGAGTACACACAGGCCATCGACCTGTGGTCTGTGGGCTGCATCTTTGGTGAGATGCTGGCCCGGCGCCAGCTCTTCCCAGGCAAAAATTATGTGCACCAACTGCAGTTGATCATGATGGTGCTGGGTACTCCATCGCCGGCCGTGATTCAGGCCGTCGGGGCTGAGAGGGTGCGGGCCTATATCCAGAGCCTGCCGCCACGTCAGCCCGTGCCCTGGGAGACAGTGTACCCAGGCGCTGACCGCCAGGCCCTCTCACTGTTGGGGCGCATGCTGCGTTTTGAGCCCAGCGCCCGCATCTCCGCAGCTGCTGCCCTTCGCCACCCCTTCCTGGCCAAGTACCACGATCCTGATGATGAGCCCGACTGTGCCCCGCCTTTTGATTTCGCCTTTGACCGTGAAGCCCTCACCCGGGAGCGCATTAAAGAGGCCATCGTGGCTGAGATTGAGGACTTCCACGCGCGACGCGAGGGCATCCGCCAGCAGATCCGCTTCCAGCCTTCCCTGCAGCCTGTGGCCAGTGAGCCTGGCTGCCCCGACGTTGAGATGCCCAGCCCCTGGGCTCCCAGCGGGGACTGTGCCATGGAGTCCCCTCCGCCAGCCCCGCCGCCGTGTCCTGGCCCTGCACCTGACACTATCGATCTGACCCTGCAGCCACCCCTGCCCGCCAGTGAACCAGCCCCTCCGAAGAAAGAGGGCGCCATCTCAGACAACACCAAGGCGGCCCTCAAAGCTGCCCTGCTCAAGTCCTTGCGGAGCCGACTCCGAGGTGCCTTGTGGAGGCAGCGGCTGGCCAGGGAGTGGGGCTGCAGAGGGGGTACTCCCAGCTTGGACAGGCCACAGACTCTTACCCTCCCCCCTGCCAACTTCTCTGCAGATGGCCCCAGTGCTCCTCTGGAAGCTCCTGAGCCTCGGAAGCCGGTGACAGCCCAGGAGCGCCAGCGGGAGCGGGAGGAGAAGCGGCGGAGGCGGCAGGAGCGAGCCAAGGAGCGGGAGAAGCGGCGGCAGGAGCGGGAACGCAAGGAGCGGGGGGCCGGGGCCTCTGGGGGTCCCTCCACTGATCCCCTGGCTGGGCTGGTGCTCAGTGACAATGATCGCAGCCTGTTGGAGCGCTGGACTCGCATGGCCCGGCCCCCAGCCCCCACACCGGCCCCGGCCCACGCCCCAGTCCCGGCCCCCACCCCAGCCCAGCCCACCAGT